ATGGTTAACCAAATTGGCAGTCAGTGTGAATGCTGCATTACCCAAGAAGAGTGAGCTGGTGAAAGAGAAAGAGAGCTCCTAGCAGAGGCAGTGATCTAAATAGTGCTTCTTTGGAGTCAATGCTGTTCTAAGCACTTTCATGTACTAATTAATTTAACCTTTAGAGTAAGCCCATGATATAGGATTAAAATACTCTTTTTTTTTCTTTTTTTTAACAGCAAAGAAAACTGAGGCCCAAAGAAGTCATGTGACTCCTTCCAAGTTACATGGCTAGTGAACAACAGAGGCAGGTTTCAAATCTAGGCAGTGTGATTATAGCACTTGGCTGTTAACCCCTGCTACTCTCCTGCCTAAATGTAATGGTGCTCCTTTCAAGGCATAGCAACACTCTGTTCATCACAGAAAACACTTAACAGCTGTGAAAAAAAAGTGACTATGTTAATGATCTTTGAGCTCAAGTCTTGAAGAGAAAAAGGACACAACCCTGAGACTGACTGTGTTTTCTGAACACCTTAGAACATCACCCTTTCTCATGGGCATAGAGTCCAAGGACTTTTGCTATTTTGATGATGAATATATGGCACAAGGATATAAAAATTCCCCCTTTGAATTAGCTGGTGGCACGGTGGTTAAGGCAGTTAGATTTCACAAAGGTGACTGTGGGGTTTAAGTTTCGTACCCAGCAGCTTGAAAAACACACTGGGTGCGTGTGTGTACATGCCTAAAATCCTAAAACAAGAATGGAAGAGGAGAGATTGAGGCATGGCCATCCCTCCTGGGGGATGATTTCACACTTTCTCCCTCTATCTCTGTCTCTTTCTGGTACGTGCACATGCCCAACAACAAATTAAAAATAAAATTAGATTTTTTTTCTCTTCAGAATTAAAGTTCAAAATTATTATAGAAATTAAGTATGAAACAGCATCAGCTCCAGGAAGCTTTTAGGTGGATGTTGCAAATTACATACCATAAACGCAACATGCCATCAATGTAATAACTGCTTTTGCCATAGAGCATAGGGCAACCTGTGTTTCCAAGTCCTTAAATTGAAAAGAAATGAGTATGTGAAAAAAGAAGCCACGAAGCATCATGAACTCTACAATGTAATTCCACTCTTCAAGGTCATGTAAAATGATACCTTTTTGAAAGTTGTTAGAATTATTCTTTTGAGGTCAACGTGATGTCACTTGGTAGTAAGAAAAGTTCACATGCTAACTGTAATCATGTGCACCTGTTGTTTTCCAAATCCTTTATACATGGATTGGATATAGAGTAGAAAAAGTGTTTGTGGTTTCTTTATATTGTAAGTGCATGGGTGCACCTGTGTATACACATACACACACACCAATATTTTTCTGTACATTTAGAAATAAAGCTTTTATACTTCAAATAAAGCTGAGACCTTAAGTACATGCTTAACATTTGCACTGTGAAGCATACTTTTTATTTTTATTCTAGTCCTTTAGGTATTCTGCCCCAATAAACAATTTGAATGACTGGAATAGCTACAAAAGCTCTATGTGAACATTTTCCCAAAGTGTAAATTATTGGAAGGCTGTTTATATAATTCATGAAAATCTTTAGTCTTGTGTCCTTTTAATCTTGGAGAATCCATCGTACTGACAGATTCTTGCATTTAGTCTATACTTAGAGACTGGATTTATTTCTTGAGCTTATCATGAAGAAAAGGGGAATGAAATTGTACTTTCAGATGTATGCAATTTAGCTTCTGCACATATTCACTGAAGTATAGCACTTCTATAGTTCCCACTCTTGAATCTGTCAAGCTAAAGCTAAACAGGGAAGATCTTTCTGTGGAGTTCAGGTGGGTGTTTTGATAACATTAACTTTATTGTACAAAGTTTCTTTTCATTCTCAATAATTTAATTTCTTGAGAATTGTTTGACCCTCCCCCTTCCCCCATCACTTGACAGGTGCTAGGGGCTTCCACAGTTCATAAGAACTTTAGGACTACAGACAACATGAGGGGGACTTACTAAGGATTTCTCCTAAGGATTCTCTACTTTAGTATTTATATTCCCAAAATTTTGGGCTAAATCACTTCAATATGAAAAATGAACATGTTTTCCTACCCCCTCTTCTGTCTTACTGTTTGCTGGTTAAGGAGTGAATTCTAGAAAACTGTCACAGAAAGGAAAACAGCCAGTGAACCCTGAGAAGTACAGAGAAGTCTGAATGGAAGAGAAATATGACCTTTAAGACATGTTAAATAGATTCTTAGAACCTTAGAATTAGAGGAAACCTCAGAAGATGAGTTCATCTTCCTTTCCTCCTATCCACTTGTAGGGGAAGGCACCAAAATCTCTAAAATAATGGGGCTGGTTTTTTTTTTTAAAGAAGTTTTTGCTTGGGAACCAGCAGTTAGCGTAATGGCTATGTTGCTGGACTTCCACGTAGTCGACCGCGGTTCGCATCCCGGACCCGGTGGCTTAAAACTCACGCCGGGCGTGTGTGCCCAAGATCCCGAGAGGAAATGGAGGAGAAGGGATTGCGGCGTGACCATCCCCCCTGGGGGGTGATTTCTCGCTTTCTGTCTCTATGTCTCTCTCTGTCTGTCTGGCGAGTGCACGTGCCCTATAGTGAAAATCTCTCCAAAAAAAAAAAAAAAAAGAAGTTTTTGCTTAAAGTTCAAAATTATTATAGAAATTAAGTATGAAACAGCATCAGCTCCAGGAAGCTTTTAGGTGGATGTTGCAAATTACATACCATAAACGCAACATGCCATCAATGTAATAACTGCTTTTGCCATAGAGCATAGGGCAACCTGTGTTTCCAAGTCCTTAAATTGAAAAGAAATGAGTATGTGAAAAAAGAAGCCACGAAGCATCATGAACTCTACAATGTAATTCCACTCTTCAAGGTCATGTAAAATGATACCTTTTTGAAAGTTGTTAGAATTATTCTTTTGAGGTCAACGTGATGTCACTTGGTAGTAAGAAAAGTTCACATGCTAACTGTAATCATGTGCACCTGTTGTTTTCCAAATCCTTTATACATGGATTGGATATAGAGTAGAAAAAGTGTTTGTGGTTTCTTTATATTGTAAGTGCATGGGTGCACCTGTGTATACACATACACACACACCAATATTTTTCTGTACATTTAGAAATAAAGCTTTTATACTTCAAATAAAGCTGAGACCTTAAGTACATGCTTAACATTTGCACTGTGAAGCATACTTTTTATTTTTATTCTAGTCCTTTAGGTATTCTGCCCCAATAAACAATTTGAATGACTGGAATAGCTACAAAAGCTCTATGTGAACATTTTCCCAAAGTGTAAATTATTGGAAGGCTGTTTATATAATTCATGAAAATCTTTAGTCTTGTGTCCTTTTAATCTTGGAGAATCCATCGTACTGACAGATTCTTGCATTTAGTCTATACTTAGAGACTGGATTTATTTCTTGAGCTTATCATGAAGAAAAGGGGAATGAAATTGTACTTTCAGATGTATGCAATTTAGCTTCTGCACATATTCACTGAAGTATAGCACTTCTATAGTTCCCACTCTTGAATCTGTCAAGCTAAAGCTAAACAGGGAAGATCTTTCTGTGGAGTTCAGGTGGGTGTTTTGATAACATTAACTTTATTGTACAAAGTTTCTTTTCATTCTCAATAATTTAATTTCTTGAGAATTGTTTGACCCTCCCCCTTCCCCCATCACTTGACAGGTGCTAGGGGCTTCCACAGTTCATAAGAACTTTAGGACTACAGACAACATGAGGGGGACTTACTAAGGATTTCTCCTAAGGATTCTCTACTTTAGTATTTATATTCCCAAAATTTTGGGCTAAATCACTTCAATATGAAAAATGAACATGTTTTCCTACCCCCTCTTCTGTCTTACTGTTTGCTGGTTAAGGAGTGAATTCTAGAAAACTGTCACAGAAAGGAAAACAGCCAGTGAACCCTGAGAAGTACAGAGAAGTCTGAATGGAAGAGAAATATGACCTTTAAGACATGTTAAATAGATTCTTAGAACCTTAGAATTAGAGGAGGCACATGTGCTCTCAGGGGGAGAGAGAGAGAAACAGAGACAGTGAGAGGGAAAGTGAGAAATCGCCTGCAAGGGGGATGGCCAAGCTACAGTCCTTTGTCTTTCATTCTCTTTCTGGGATTTCAGGCATGCACACACATGTGCCTGGCATAACTGTCAAGCCACTGGGTCCGGGACATGAACCACAGTTAGCCATATGGGACTCTGGTGATATAACCACTATACCATCTGTTGCTGCTGTGATGGGACTGTTTTAATGGCCACTTCAACCCTGGCTTTCCTCCTCCTGATTTTATTTTCTGCAAGTAATTGAACTTACCTGTCAAAAGCTTAAGTTGAGATTTCGTTCCACTGCTTAAAACTTTCCAAAGGTTCCCATGGATTTAGATTGCAGTTCAGACTAACCATCAATGGAGTGTGAAGCCTCCACTGTCTGGCCTGTCTAGTTCTGTGTCTTGGTGCTGTGCTGTTCTCCCTCACTCACTCTGCCGGAGACCCACTGGGCTTCTGTAGATTTCTTGAATGTCAGGCTCCTTCCCATCTTAGGACTTCTGCCTGAACTGCTTTCTCCCCATATCCATGTGTACCTGCTATTATTCTACTGAATAGCTCTTAATCTAAAGTTATTTCCTTAGAGAATCATTTCCTATTCAACCCATAAAATGGAGCACCCCTCTTGTGATAGCAATGCTACCACATCACTCTATTTTATATTCTTTCCAATTTTCAAATGAATGAAGAGCTTTTATGGAGTTTGAGGGATTAGGTAGGCATTTGTTGTGGTCTTAGATTCTTTTTGAGCCAGAGGTTAGCAAAGTTTGGCTAGTGAGTGTTAAGGGTGCCTAATGCTCACAGCCAGCTACTTTCAGGCTATATAGTATATCTACAACAGTCCTATGATCTACTTGTCCAGTATTCCTACCACCGGAACAAATAAAAACAAGATTCCTTATTCAAATGCAGGTAAATTAGTTACTTACTTATAGTGGATCCAGACTCAGGCCTGTTCAGGGAGCTGATGATGACAAAGCCAAAGCCTTCATTCTCTTTGCGGTGAATGATCACATCGCTGGTCTGCAGGCTGTGGGAGGCGAAACCTTCAGGAGGAGAGGCATTGCTACTGGGGACCGCGTGGTTGCTGTTGGTATACGTTGCGTAGTCACTGCGTGGAGAGCTGTGGTGGGTTGATACAGAGCCTGGGCTCCTCCCGTTCTCTGGGCAGGGCTCCCCTAGAATACATATTGTATGTGGGAACTCAGTTATTTAACAATGATCTTAATACCTTCTTTTATGAAGTACTGTTTCAGACACGGATATCATTCAAAGACTTGACTGACTTCTCTTTCCTCAGATATGAAGAGTATCTGAAGGACTACAAACCTATCTATGGAGCCCTATAGTCTTGGCCCACTTCTAGTCTTTATAGCAAACACAGGTAAAAAGCTCTCATCAGACTTCTCCATGTAGCTACTTGTTTATTGCCTTCTTTTTGTTAAGATTGCAAATCCCAACCTCATGAATAGATGAACAGATTGAAAAACTGTGGCACATATACTCTATGGAATACTACTCAGCCATAAAAAACAAGACCATGGCTTTTGTCAGAAAGTGGATGAATATGGAAGATTTACTGCTGAGTGAAGCAAGCCAGGCTACAAAGGAGAGACATTGTATGTCTCCACTTAACATATACCATGTGTCTGCACTCTATGACAAAAACTGAATGACTGAAGGATATAGAAACACAATAAGTGGTTGTGAATACCAAATTTAGTGTGGGAGAGGGTGGGTGAAGGAGTAGAGTCTGAGGAAGGACATTAGGAGAAAATAAAGAAGCAAATCATTAATGGGATAAAGAAATGGGGTATAATCTGTTGAAGATAACTTTATAGTATTATCAACTGGACTGGGGAGAAAAGTACGCATGTTGAATATTCACTTTGCAAGCTAAATAATGTGAGTGAATGTATAAAAACTTGGGATGAAAGAAAAAAAGACTGCGAATCCCTAGGATAATGCCTATTTTTATATACTGCACTTCTTAGGTGCATAATAATAACTGAAGATGATCATACAGCAAGTAAATAAAATCCTAAACTGTACTGTGTATAAGAGTCATTTAAAGAACTTACCAAAAAAATACATCTACAGGGTCCACCCACAGAAATGTTGTTCAGTAGGTATGGTGCAGATTGGGCACAAGAATCTGGATCAAGTTTTGAACTACACTTTGGGTAATGCTGTCTGTGATGTCCAAGGGGCTTTCCAAAAGTTCACAGGAAATGTGTATTAGGAAAAAACTATGCATAGATTTGAATTTTTTGTGCACCAAAAAAAAAGCTTGTATTTTAATTCAATTTTTTTTCACAGACATTGTTTTAAAGTTCTCTCATATTGTAAGTATGCTTAACACCCAGGGGATGTCTATGTACCTTGTAATTTTTCTAAAGAGCTGTAGTTCTATTTTATGATATTCTGCTTGCCTGGAAGTATTAATTTGCTTCATATAAGTGGGTAATATATATTAAAAATTTGTTTACATGGATTTTTGTATAACAACCACATTTCAATAAAGTGATTTAAAAGTATAAATAAATAAATTGAGATTTTCATTCAGAAATTATTGATAGTCTATTTACTTTAGGATCAAACCTAATAATGATATCAGGCTAAGGGCTTATGAATTTTGAATCTCTAAGGAGACGTTAGAGGTCTTGCTCATTTATATTCCATATTATTACAAAATACATTTTAATATCAACCAGATAATCCAAACCAACACTTCCATGAGAAAGCAAGCATATTTGCATGGAGAAATGGTAGAAAGTTGGCAGCCAAGAGAAGCTGGCTTTTAAAATGAAAGTTGATCTGTCATCCAGAAAGAATTTTGTCACTTTTATATCTAGGTATTGGCACTCTGATGAAAAGAACTGAAGTGGGAATGTAGAATACTGTTATTAGAAATAGAACTGTTTTGAGGTCCAGCAGGGACTGTCATGTTTAAGGTGTTAGACTCCTACATGACAAGCCACAGTTTGAGTCCTGGACCCGGTGGCTTGAAAATCACACTGGGCGTGTGTATGTGTGTGCATGCCCACAATTGCAAGAGAAGAAATGAAGAGAAGGGACTGTGATGTGTCTGTTCCTCCTAG